AAAAAAAAAAAAAATGATACTTGGGTAATTAGATCAAACTTATTATAATTACTTATTCTTTCTCTAAAAATTAACGAGTATGAATTAATGGAAAGAGTTACCAATAGGAAAATTAATTAAGGATAATAAGTATAATATTTAAAAATAATAATAAAAAATAAAACAAACGGGTCAACTTGTCAACCCGCGATTGACCCTAACCTGACCCGTGGCCCGTACGAGTTAATCATACGGATTATCTACGAGTTGCGGGTTGAGATATGTAGACCCTAATCCGTTTTTTACGGGTCAAGTTAAGGTCGAGTTGATGGGTCGGGTGGATTTTTGCCAGGTCTAGATGATGGTAAAATCTATTTGGATCAATTTGCTCATTTAAGACATAAAACAATCTAATACCGTTGCTAAGCCTAGATAATTTGTGTAAACTAAGTTATCTTTTATTAATCTCTTAATATATACAATATATACATGAGCATATAAGATCTGTGGGTTGTTGCCCTAGCTATATAAGGAAAGACACAACATTGAATACAAAGATACAAAATAGTAATTAAAAGACACAAACATTTTTGAGGGGATTCTTTTTCTTTAACACCTTTGACTTTTTTTGGTGAGATAGAACAAAACATGTCCTTATACAGAGTCAATTTCATCTTTAACACTATCAAATTAGGCAAAATCCTCAAATCCACCCATTGAATAGGTGGGGAAGGACAGATTCACCCTTGAAAAAACTGTAGGGACAAATTGCACCTTTAACTAATAGATTTGGATAAATAACCCAAAATTTAACGAGTGACATCATTTGACGTTAGCTTTCTGTTAACTATTTGATTACATAGCATCTTTTTCCAATTGGAGCTAACATGGCGTAATCTTTTAAATTTTTTAAGTAATGCAATGCAAACACTAAGTGGACTTATTCCATTATTAAATTTTCAATAATGACATGGCAAGTAAGTCCTACAACAAATGTAGTTTTTAAAAAAATTAAAAGAAAAATGTTGTATTTTCTATGTTAATCAACATACCCATTCAAATTTACAAAAGATGCCATTGTTTAAAATTCATCTTTCATTGCAACCATCATCTTGGATATATAATCCCACAAGTGAAACCCATGAGTTTGAAACAAAATTTCAGACCCATGGACTTGAAAGCATGAATTCGTCAAGTCTTTACAAATCTCAATCTTTCCTTGAAATTCAAATGCCATATAAGATGATTTTTCCTGAAACTAAAATTCAAGGTGAAATCATAAAACCTCATATGTAGAAGTTCTCATACAACAAAATTCTGAGCCAAATTTCTTAATTTGGGAAACCCAAAAACAATTTCAACCCAAGATTTCTAATTGGAAGCTAAAACCAGTCAACTCTAAAAAGTTGGATAAAGAAACTCAAAACCATTCTAAAAAAAAAAAAAAAAAAACTCAAAACTGGAATTTGAAGTGTTTTTGAAATTATAAAAGAAAATCAAAAAGAGAAAATATTTAACCTAGCACTAAAATCCCATGGTTTTTACAAGCACGTAAGAATTGCCAAAGGTATCTGTTGAGTCAAACACAAAGAGCTCCCCATTCTTTCTAATCATGACCTCACTTAACCTACTATGGCCACCTACATTTCACCGGAGATCCTTTAAACTAGTACCCTTTTCTGTGAGCCACCAAGAGTCCAGATCCAAATGAGGCTCTCAACGATTGGCTTTAGCAACCATCATTGACCTATCATAGCACTAGAAATGGTTTTTTATTTGGTAATATATTTTCATTATTTTATTACTAGTTATTTCATTAAATTGAAAACACTAAATGCTTGATGATTTTATTCTGAATATTTAAGTAATAAATAATTATAGTAAAATTATTCAATGATTTATGTTAGTTAATTACAATTAAACCACTAACTAATCCATGTTGACATCCAACTTGAAAAAGATAACATGTTAGCTTACAGCCTATCAAGAAAAGCCACATAAGATAGCAGTTAATAAAAACCTTAATCAGATAATGTCACACATTAAATTTTGAGTTATTTGTCCAAATCAACTAGTGGAGGGTGTGATTTGTGCTTGCATTTCTTTTTAGGGGTGGATTTATCCCTACCCACCTATATGAGGAACAAATTTGAGGGTTCTACCACCCAAGTACTCCCGGTTGACAAAAGTCACCTAACAATTCTCTAAAGAGACAAACATGCAAATTTGTCAAAGGAAAGGAGGTAAGATCAATCACACATTTAAGGAAAGTGACATGATAACAATATTCATCAACATGGAAAAGAGTGTCAAGGTTCAACAATAATCAACAAGGACAAGGAAGATTCATTTCGTCATTTATATACTCACTTGTCCCTTGAGATTTATTTGTATCTAATAGTGAGAATGTTCTTGTCAAAGGTTAAACTACTTGTGGAACAAAGCCTGCAGAGCTAACAAGAAAGATTGCAAAAGTAATGACTTGGAAAACATGAAGGAGTAGATCTCACCTTGTTGTCAAATAAGTGGCAAGTATGGTCAAGTTTGGGGCCATCGTCTTGTCACTTATATTTGACAAAAAAGGAATAGAATGTTAGCCAAAATGTGGAAAATATAACTAAGGGATTCAAACAAAGCGATTGTGTACAAATGACTTGAGAAAACAAAGCATTGTTGGAAGTACCAAAGTATAAAAAGAGAAATCTCTATCATTCTTATCAAATGCAACCTTAGAGAAAAACAAAGAGATTTTCCATTGTCCAAGGAGGGTCATCAATACCAAGAAAACCAAGTGCCAGAACCATGCTCTCACATTCCCCAACATAATAATTGTAAAAAGTGAATTTTGTCCTTCAACCCATTTTGGCAA